TTCTGGCCAAATAATATATTATCGACTATCTTGCCACTCTGAATCCAAGGGGATTGTGGGACATAAGCCTTGGATCCACTCAATCTTAAACCTCCAGAGATCTTTGAAACTTCTCCTAAAATGCAAGAAAGTAGAGTAGACTTTCCAGAACCAACTGTACCACATAATGCCACCCTCATACCATGATTAACTCTAAGATTGATGTTTTTTAATGTAGGGATTGAGGTCGATAAATCCCAGCTAAAATTTCCTTCATTGATCTCAACAGCAACTTCAGAAGTTTCTCTAGGAATTTTCTCTACAGTATCAGGTTCTAAGTCATCAAGACAAAGGAAAGAGGCAATTCTATCAAGGGAAACTTTTGTCTGTATGACCATAGAGATTGTGTCTGGCAGATTGTAAATGGGTTCCTGAAGAATCCGAAATGTTGCAAGAGCAGTTAAAACCTTCCCTGATTCAAGAGGTATACCCATGATCATGCATGTCCCAAAAGTAATAACCAACACAAATGTTGGAGCACCCCAGAAAACAAATACTGTTGTAGCTGAAATACTAAAAAATTTCTTCAACCAAACATTTTCACTATTTCTTAGGTCAACAATCTTAGACAAGAATTTCATTTCCCATGCTTGAAGCTTCAGAATTCTCATGTTCTTCAATATCTCAGATGTTGCCTTCATTCTCTTATCCTTGGCTTCCATTAGCTTTGCTTGATACTTCTCAAGCAAAGTTGACAAAGGATAATTGGCCAACATAGTTAAAATGGTTCCAGCAAATGCAGCAAGTGATGCCAACCCTAGACTTTTATACAACAGCAACAAGGCCAATGCAACTTTCAATATGACCATCCATGGATCATGCATATACCAACTAAAATCATCAATTCTCTCTGCATCCACAGTCATGAAATTGATCATCTCCCCACTTGTATGACCTTGCTTCGATCGACTAGACAGGGTCAATGCCTTATTATAGATACTCTCTATAAGCACAGCTTTCATCCTAATCCCAACTACTTGAAGCCTAAAGAACCAATGCCTTTGACATAGGCATTCCACTAGCTTCGCAAAGAAGAATGCAGAAACTAGTACATAGCCTTGGTTTTTGTATTCCCTTCTCCCATTAAGGTATTGAACAAAGGTATCAATGAGGTAAGGACCAACAAAAGACGCTATTGTTTTGATGAGGCAAAGGAAAGCCGTAAATACAATATCAACCCATGATGTTAAGATCAAAGATTTCACAAGCCTCATACTTGTCACCTTCTTATCACTTCCTTCTCTAAGAGACTCCAAACAATTTCTAAATATCATATGGGATTCACCAACATCATCTTTACCCGAAAGGGGAGGAACATCCTCAAGGTCCAAAGTTTCATTATAGCCTTTGGAGATTAAAGAGCCTACCCAAGTAAAAGATAGGTTACTTAACAACCCAGCATTCAAATAAGGACTAATTGTTTCACTCCCTTCGCTCGTACTCGAATTGACCCTACCATTACCATTCAAAAATGGCTCTTGAAGATCACTATCCTCACTAGTAAACCTCCCAAAAACCCCAACACAACAAAGAAAAATTCCTGATATAACATATACTACATCACATACCAAAACTTGAATTGGCAAACTTTTATTTCTACTAAGTTGGATAATGTCTACAATAAGGCAATAACAAGAAACAACAAGGTAAAAACCCCACCAAACTCTCAATTGAACAGGAACTTTTACTCCATTAAAGTGGTAAATAAATTTTGTATGCAAGTAAATAGAAACTAACAACCAAACAAACACCTTCAATGCTAAATCCAAAAGGGTAGCTAGTTTATCATCTGACCAGCCATTTTTATACCAATAAAAGCAATTTAAGCAAAAAAATGCTAGATTAAATAAAGAAAGAGCTAAAGAAGGGAAGAAAACAGGTTTATAATACCAAAAGTTTCTATCTTTGGAGTGATATTGCCATTTCTTCGGAATAATTTGTAAACCCATGAAAGAATTAGACCAAATAATAGGATTAGATGTAAGAAAACAGAGGAATCTCGCAAAAAGAATGGACTTTGAAGGAAATTAAGAAATGGGTTTTTGAAAGAAGAGAGAAAATATGAAATTGGTGAAATACCCATGTTCAATAGGGGTTTTCAGGTTTTGTTAAGTGGGGAGGAAGCTTAAAAGATGGAATTTATAGTGTTTTGGAAAAAGAGCGGCCTACCAGTTAAAGAAAAAACGGGTTACAGACTACAGAGTATGAGTACGTAGGTACTTGTTAATTATCGTTATGTTCCAAGAAAATATGGACACCTTAAACAAATTTGAACAAACACACAAAATTACAAAAATATCTTCTAGGAAAAATGATTTTATTTGAAAGGGAGGTTGGACACTTCGACTTGGCGGGTGTGGGCAGGAGTGAGAATCGATACCAAGATCCCCTGGAATCGGATGGAATATCTAACCACTTGCCACTTGAGCTATTCCTGATTCTCGTCTATAATTAGGGTATGTTCTCATATGATTATTTTTAGTTCAGTTCATTTCAGCTCTAATAAGTTCAGTTCATTTCAGCTTCTAATTTCCTTTTCTTATAAAATATTCATTTTAGTTTAGTTTAGTTTAATTTAGCTCTAATAAATTCAATTCAGTTTAGTTCAGTTCAATTCAATCAATGAGAACAGGCACTTAGATTATCAAACAATGTTGAAAAAAAAAATTATATACAACCTATGGATTCCAAATGATCTTAACACTTTCCACATTAATTAATTTTTTTCACAAACACTTTCCATGTTTGTTTGTTATTAAAAGTTCTATAAACAACATTATATTTTTCATGTATGGCAAATAATTCCCTTTACCCCATAATATTTTCTCGTTATATCTACTCAACCCACTTAATTTATCTAGAATTTTTGTATATTCATTCACTTTTTTACATTGTCTCTCTTTAACTACAATTTTTGATCTTACTTTCACTTATCGTAAATGTTAAGATTAAATGAAAAAGGAGATAATTGTTAATATCATATGACACATGTTGCCTAGGCACAATCATAGCACAAATGAAGTCATTGTCCAACCTTCCTCGTTCACAAATTAAAAATCTTTATGACCCTTTATCTATACTTGGGAATCAAGGATATATATAGACCATATGCATGAAGTTGGACTATTCAAAAGGATATCTCCATTTATGATGGAATTTGCCAAGTGCCAAGATACAGTGGGCTAGTAAAGCACTATTCGAGTGTTCGACGAAATTTCATACTTTCACGAGATTTATAATAAAACTTTAATAAGTAGTTTTCATCACATAAAAAAAGAAAGAAGATGATGACCCCTCCTATAAAAAAGATGATGAACGTATTCGTGAAAGTATGAAAATCACGTAAATAAGAATTATGATATTTGTGGATGAGAATATAATTTGAGTCCTTTCAATTTTAGTTTGAAATCAATCCCTTTCAATTATTTTTGAAAAGTCTTTTTAATCAACAATAATCCAAAATTAATGATATCAGATATTAATTCATGTGATGATATTTAATAAGTTCCCGCCTAAACTCAATATTCTTTAACTGATTTAACTCGGTGAAATTGGCCTCACATCATGAACTTTTAACAAGATGTAAGCACAACATGAACTTTGATTAGTAGCTAGCTATAACAACACAAAATTCTTTATTAGGTGCACAAAATATCATAAATGAAACTTACCAAAAATTTTGCCGAATACATGGTATCTAATATTTTTATTATCATAAGAAATCGTTTGGTATTACGTGCCTCGAAATTTATGTAGGAAAAAAAAAATTATCAAACGAGGTTTTGGAGGTCAATTTAGTCATATTTGAAATCAAATTTAGCAAAAAAGTTACAAAAAACTCAATTTGCGTGCTATAAAAATATCTCGGGAAAGGTCTTGGGTCAATTTGGACCTTAAGGACTAAATATGATATCAAAATTTGCAAAAAGTTGATAAAATATTAATATTTGATAAAATTTCCAATCCTTAGTCCCTTTCATTTATGATATTTTGCGCACCCGATGAAGAAATTAGTGTTGTTACGAATAATAGTCAAAGTTCATGATGTTATATGCACCTTATTAAAAGTTCGTGTTATTAAGGCCAATTTTGCCATTTAACTTTGGAAAAATTCCATCCCCGCCTAAGTTCAATGATTTAACTTTAAAAGCAAAGTTAATTGAATTACACATATTCCTAAAAATATATATTCCCAATAATGAACTACTCCTTCATTTTTATTTTTTCCTTCCTATCAAATCTTGAATAATACTCCACTCCGTAATAAGGTAATGAAACATAAATATTGGTGAAAGCAATCATTTAAACAATACAAAAGTCAAAGCAGAACACTCATAAAAATGGAGTATCTAAACGAGGTGAAATTTATTTATTTATTTATAAATTTTGTTTAAAAAATAAATAAGAAGTGAAATAACCATTGCATTTAAATAGGGGTAAGCAAAAAATCAGTAAACCTGAATCGAAATCGGAACTTGTTTGGAACCGCTGGTTCCAGTTCCAAGTAGCAAACTGGAGAACCCGTTGTAATAGGTTCCGGTTCAGGTTCTCAATTTTTTGAAACCGGAACTCATAGGGTACCCTGTACCTGATAAAAGTATCACTTAATTTCAAATTATACACTAATTCTTACGGAGTACTCAATTTTTAAATAATAAATATAAAAATTATAATTATAAAAATATATATATTAAATTTGTTATACAACTACTATTAGTTTGTCTTATTTGCAAGTTGCAAACATTATAAATTAGTGACCAACCAGTTTTTATTAAAAAAATCCGCGAAAAAGTTAGTGAGTACTCCGTATATTATAATACAGGGTACCCTGAATCGGAACTAGAACCTGCAGGTTCCGATTCCGATTTTCATTTTCCAAGAACCTGTTCAACAGGTTCCGGTTCCCATTTTCCAAGAACCTGTTCAATATGTTCCGTTTCTCATTTTGAGGAACCTGTTGCAACAGGTTCCGGTTCCGATTCTGGCTCCCGCTCCTGGAATTTATATACGTACCCTGTTAGGCTGTTATGCTCACGGCTCACCCTACCCCTACATTTAAATACGTCGATCGAGAAGCAAAAAAGTACAGTAGGTAAAAGGGTTTGCAAATACACTCTGGTTTTCTCACGCTATCAGCAGACAGCAGCCATGGTAATTCTCTCTCCTCACTCCCAACTCAATTTTCTTGTACTGTATTCCATACTTTCGATCAACTAAAAAAATTAGGGTTTGTTATTAATTCTGAATTGCAAATTTGGGTCTGTACTGATTAATATGAATCTTTCTTCCATTAATTTATTCAATCATAATGGTTTTGTTGATTATTGTAAAACCCTAATTAAATCTGACATTTTGATTATGACTTTAGGATTCGTTATAAATTTCATGATCATTGATTTTATTTCTTTAATTTCAATTTTCTTTGATACAACAATCTATACATTACGGATTCAGAATTATATATATACGTGAATTTGGGTTTGAACATTAATGTTCTTGTTCATGGGATGTTTAAATTTGCATTTACTATATAATTTGCTCGAGGAAAAGTGTGATAATTCATTTTTTTTTCTTTTGGGCTAATTCGGATTTGAGGATCAGTTTCCAAATTATCTTCTGATTGTTATTGTGAATTTGTGATTAAATGCACTTTCCAAATTTATATATCAGTCAAAGCAATTTATAATAATTCCATAATTTAGGGAAGTCTGAGATTATGTTACATAATAGCGCAAAATAAATCGTTCACCAAGAATGACAAACTATGTTTTTCGGCGTTGAATTATATTTTGCCATGATGAAAAGAATCACCGATAATGTTCGTTTGATCATGAAGTATATGTTCGGATTTGTGTTTAAGGTTGAAGATTATGTTCTTGTTCTTTTAATTATGATCTTCTCGACTTTTTTATTTTAAAAAATGAATATAAATTGAACTTGTTCTTTGGGTTTAGTTGAACTTTATATATGTTCATTTCTTTTTCTTTTGAGTGTAAATTACATGTTCTTTATATCTTTTTAGGTTTATGTTCTTTTGTTTAAACTCTTATATTGTGCATCTAGGTCCACAAACCAATAATTGACACAATATCCTCTAATTTTTATTGTTGATCTCTATTCAGAGATCAAGTTTATGTATGTGTTTGAGTACAAAACGCTATCTGACTACTGTACTGCTATAATTTCCTCACAGGAAGTGCAAAATCGCAACGTTAGAACAAGGGTAGATAGGCTCACCAGTTTACCTTATGATTTGTTGATTAAGATTCTTTCTCTGCTTCCTACCAAGGATGTAGCTTCTCTGTCTGTCATCTCTAAACGAATAAGGCGGATTTTCCCTTTAATTACAACCCTCGATTTCGACAGTTTACCTGCATCACATCGTTTTAAAGCATTGAAACACCCATATGCAATTCAGCGTTTGCCCGCTTTTGTCACCTTTGTCAATAATGTCCTCCAACAATATCGTTCTCAGCATCTCAAAAGGTTTAGACTTCATATCAGCAGAGCAGACCGTATCACCACCCCGTACTCTAATGGTTGTCGCCATCTCCTTGACTTGGAGTTCACACATCTTGAAAAATGGATCTCTTTTCCATTGACCTTTTCTGGCCTTAGGGAGCTGGACCTCTGCATTCTGGTGAAGAAACCAGATGAAGCTCAGTTGCCCCCGGCTATATTCACATGTGAAACATTGGAGGTGTTGAAGCTTCAGGTTAACATTGGTCTTGATCAAGTAATCACTATGCCAGTTTATCGACTTCCAAACTTGAAACAACTACTCTTGCTCACTTCGTTCATTCCTGATGATGACCTTCTGCCCAGGCTAGTTTCAAGCTGCCCCTCACTTGAAGACCTCACATTTCAAGCCTTACCAAACCATACCCTCAAAAAAATTATCTATCCAACTTCCCTTCGGAGATTGTGTATGTATATGAATAGACTTGAGAGTATTGCGAGTGATAACAATGACTTGGTGCATTTCAGCTATCCTGATTCGGAGTGTCTTGAATTCATGGATAATTCAAGATGCATGTGCTCAATCCCCAAGATTCCTAGTTTTGTTAAAGAAGCACTAACCTTTCCTGAGATCTTATTATATGAGGAAATTCAGTTTTCTTGTAAGCAGATAAGTACCCTCCTCAAACCCTTGTCTTATGTTCAACATTTGTCTTTGCTTGGCTGGTTCTTTCTGGTACGTACGTCACTCTGATCTAAACTCTGTTTATAGCTAAATTATTTTTTCGTTATTTTGTGAATCATGCAATTGACCAACTGGTTGTCAAATGTTTACCTTTGGCTGAAGGGTTTTGACTGTGAAAACGAAAAGGTCCTAATGGATCAACTGCCTGTGTTTCATAATCTGAAGCATCTGGAGCTGTCTTTTTGTGGTGAAAATCACTGCTGGGATAAGTTTTTGCAGCCACTTCTTTTTCATTCGCCTGTCTTAGAAACACTTGTTTTGCCATGGGTAAGTCACTGTAAGTGTATGGTTTTGGTATTATTTATACAAGTGTAATGCATTAGCTCTTTACTGTAAGCAAATTATGTTTTTGATTGTTGTCTACTAATTTGCAGGGGCTTATGAGTTCTGATCCTCGTCAATGCTTCGCATACCCTGGATATAGAAGCAAGTTACAGGAGTTAAAACTAGAGTGTTTCAGAGCTGCTAGCGCAATTCCTTCATGTTGCAGGTATCATCTTAAAAGAATAGTGATAAAAGAGTACTATGGGTCATTTAACCGGGAAGTAGAAATAACCAAGTATTTCCTAAGACAAGCATTAGTTTTGGAGGAATTGGTCATATTTCGAGCCCAAAAATCTAGGATTCCATTTCCAGATAAGAGGTCGATTGAGACTACATTAAAGAATTATCCAAGAGCCTCATCCACTTGCTCAATTCAAGTATTGTGATCACCATGAATCCGTGATAGTGTACATGGTTCGACGATTGTGATCTAGTAGCAAGTAATCTGTTTAGGACAATTACTTGTAATGGGAAAACAAAACGCGAAATTCAGTAGTCTACTGTCGAGTTTTAGTTGCAGTACAGTGATCTTAATTACAGAGTATTATCAATGGGAAAACCTCTCTGGCTGGTCTACTGCTTCTAAATTAGGAGAAATGATTATGTCATGCCTGCGTTATGAAGATGTCACTAAGTTGAATCTTAGTTTTCAAGTACACAATTTACAGTTTATACTATTTTGACTTCATAATTGAGAAGGGGGTAGAAGTTAAGGTTGGTAGCATCTTGCTTATACCTTCGATTTTTTTTAGTTACAACTTTGGAAAATTTTATTTTCTCCTTTATTTTTTTAATAATTTCGATATTTTGAGTTTTAAACTATATTAATCGATATGTCTCACACATATGTACTCCATATACAAACTATAAATTCTGGATTTAAAGTATATGGATCATATGATGATACTTTTACGGACTCTTCTTTTCCATCAATCTTGTCATCCTTGATGTTTTTTTCTCGTTCATTTATTTCTTTGCTACTCTATTTCGTTCTTTATGATTTGAAACTCATGTAATGTGATGATCCTATAACTTGGGAATATTGTTTGAAATACCCACTAATTGATAGTCAGATCAAAGCCCTACCAATTTGGGGCATGCACGTAGATTTTTATAATATTAATACTATTTTTCAAAATCAAGTACACAATTGTCAATTATTTGCCTTTGACTTTTATACTTAGCGTTTTAGAAGCCTGTTTTGATTTAGATTAGTACGTAATAATATTCTTTATTCTTTATTTAATAAAAAATATATATATTTATAGAGCAATCCATATTAGACCTGCAGAGAGAATCGAAGACGTACATTTTATCCATCAAATCTTAACTAACACCGTTGGGTTATGATTAATATTTTATTATGTGTTACGTATGGAAAATTGTAAGTTATTTAATGCAAGAATATGAGCAAATACTACATTCTACGTGATTATTAATCAAATTAGATTATATGCGACTTTTCTTGCCTTATTGGAATTGTAATGAAGCCTCAATTTATTCCAAGGTACTGTAATGTAGCAACACTTAAACACTGTACCCCATATAAGATTTTGCTCAAAAAATCGTTTAAATTAGTACGTGTATAAAGCAAAAGTCAGCAGCTACATATTTATAAAACAAAGTATATATCTAATTTCATTTCACTAGTCAACGTATTATTCGATCTTTGGTTTGCATATACCAATCTATACTTTACATACCTACCAATTGGCTGTTGATATAGTGGTGATTTGGATTACACTTGGTAAAAAGGACCCGTGTTTGATCCCCCACGACAACAATTGGGAGGGGATTGGAACTTAACCACCCAAAACTGATCCCCGAATCCGAATTTGCCCAAATAGTGAACCGGTGAAACATCAAAAAAGAAAAAAAAAATAAAAAATCTACTTTATGTCTTTACATGCCTAAAACCTTTGATGGTGTTACTAGCTTGATTTAGGATCAATTATCATCCATATTATTAATTTATCATTTTCGACACAAAAAATAGTAGGCCTTGTTTGACAATTATTTGGAAAAACAAAAAAAAATAAATGACAATGAGAGTTGTGAGTATGTCATATCATACGGTCGTACATCTTATTCATAATTATGACTAAATTATCATATTTTGGGTGTAATTTTCAAACAATATTCAGTCTATAAATAAATATTCTTTGGCAGCGCACAACTTTTAACACAATAAAAACAAAGAAGTACACACCTGGAAATTAAATGGCATTATTATTAGGCAGAAATTCCACTTCAAATAGTAGTATGTTCTTTTTCATGTTGCTTCTGCTTGCGCATTTCAGCGCAGCTACTGATGTTTGCGCACCAAACACACCTCCTCAAGAAGGTTAGCTAGCATTTTCACTCATTTCTTCTTTTTTGTATTACTCCATTTCTTGAGTTTATTGCTTCATTTCTTCTCATCTTCTTAAAGATTAGATCTTGTATGTATATTTACAACAACAGGACTCTAACTTAGCTTGTATGTAATTAACTAATTATATAAGTAACAAACAAGTATGGTGGAAAACTGATTTTGTGACTCTGGGATCACGAGTTCAAGCCCTACCACGTATTTGAGAGTAGGGGATTTCTTTAACTCCTCCCTAGTCTCAACAAGTGTTAAACTCAGCTCCTCTCTACTCCCAAATGTTGACTTGTAGCTTATATTCTATGGGCGAAGTGAGTTTTGATCATATCATGCATGGGGGTTTGTCTCTGCATGCATGATGCATGTAGTCTAACAAAGCTATTGCCATATTGGCATGCATCAATCCATATTCAAATAAACTTTTCATTAATATTCTTGGAATCGAAGCATATACAAGTTCAATATGATTTCATGTTGGATGTATAAATATTCACTAGGCAAGAACAACCCAAATCGGAGGAGAGTCTGACTCCATGTAAGCTCAGCAAAGTTCTATCCTATAACCAATTGTTGATTCGTGCCCATTAAACTTGTATGTTAGATTGTTAGTCATTTTCCTTCTCTTTCATACATGTGGGACAATTAGTCTCAACTCGTGTGTACGTATTGACTTTATTCTCAACTCATACACAGGTTATATACTACCTCCGTTAAATGTTATGTGCAACTTTGAAATATTTTATATCTCACAAATTATACCCCAAAGTTGCACATAACAATTAACGGAGGTAGTATATATATATATCATCTAGTATTTGTCTATTGTGATGTATACACTAATAACACATTGGCAAGTTGCTCTTATCTTGTCTTTAATAATTCTAAAAGGTAGTGCAATTATAACATGCTTCATAAAAAGATTATTGGGGACATTTGAATGAAATGTTTTGATTAATCATTGATAAATTATAATCCAAATTTGAAACGTTATTGTCCTTAAAGACTTTTTCAACTTTGTTGAATTGTGTATGAATCAAGAGATGTACCAATGTATATAGCTAGTATTCTAAAGGACATTTCAGATCATATAAGACTATTCTAAATTTATAACGAAATTCCTATATATATGCTTTTTATATTTGGTCTCTGATTAAAGGGAGTATAGTCCCTGGTATGAAATTAATGAATTTAATGTGTACCAAAATTCTGTTTTGTCTGCTACGTTGTATTTGATCCGACTGTCATTATCCTTGTAAACCTCTTTTTAGTCATGTAAGAATAAGACGTTGCAACCTAAGTGTAAGGTTGAGACAATGTGACAACTAATTTTAGAACGAAGGAGGACTTTATGTTAGTTGAATCCTGTATCATTGTTCCCTCGTATGAATGTATGAAGATAGTTAATGAGCTTAAGACGTCACAAAATTCTAACTTTTCTTATCCCCTATAAAGTAAACTTACTGTAAGCTATAAGCTAAGCCATTTAAGAATAGTGTTTGATGAGAAAAGATAGAAGTTTTTCAATTACTATTAGTATATCGGTACGTGTGAATGAACCAGTGTTTTGACCCTGCTGCGATTTCTGAATCCTGTAACAGCAGATGTCAAGAACTGGTGCAATAAAAACATATCTATCAATACAACAGTGAAATTTGACCTTGATAATGCAGCATGTAAAATATACAGGTCTATAAGTATTTATTACAACTTTTTACGATTTAAGAGGTTGTAGTTAGTGGAAGGATTCTTACATATGCAATGTATATTAATTAGTGCATGATGCTAGAAAGAAAATTTCTTTTTTTTGTTTGGAATTTCATACATAATTATGGACAGAACAAAGACACCTACATACAAAGATTGAAAAATGAATTATGCTTTGATAAGGCCTTGTGTGGTTAAGTAGTTGTAAGTTGATACATACGAGGACTAACACAGGCCGTAATGGACAGGGAGGTATGTCCAATTTTCTATACTGTCTTAAGCTCAGAACAAGTTGAATAATATGTTACTCCGTATTATATGCAGTGATTGCCCTTCTGGAAGTTGCTAGAGAATTGAAGAAGCCTGACATGAATAACCGTACAAAGGATCCTTGTGACAAAAACAACACCTGCTGGTTTACAGAAGTTGATCCGAGCAGGCATAGTTATGTCAACCAAGTCTTGTTCATGCATTGACGGTGTAACACATGTGACAAACATGTAAGAGCAATTATAAGATGCTTAATTAGTGTCTTTCTGATCTTCTTCTTTATCTTGTTAGATTGATTCATTTACTCTTACACAAAGTTTTTCTTTGCTGTAAAACAGTTCATGGAAGGGCCAAAGTCTTAGCGGTGTCCTTCCAAGATCTCTTGCAAATTTGTCTTTCCTAACAACCTTGTAGGAAGACTCTCTCAGTTACACTTTTGTAAGTTTTTTTGCATAATGAATGATGATACTTACATATGACAATAATCTATTCCTTGTATAATCTTAGAGACCTTTCACGGAGTCTCCTTACTGGAACTATCCCACGAGAATGGACAGCTACAAAGTTGAAATTCTTGTAAGAAACTGGCCATATTAATTTTCATGTTCCAATAATGTTTCTGTGTGCTTGAATTCTGATATGCAAAAGGGATGTTGTCTGTTATTGCAGGTCTCTTTTTGCAAATCGCTTGTCAGGACCTATTCCTGATTACTTGGGAAATATTAGCACCCTTACATATTTGTATGCTATCCTCACTTTTAGTTCCCTTTTCACCACTTATTAAACAAGGTTGTGCATGTTTCTTACAACGTTTCATTTCTTTTTTGAACACGCGACACCAAATTATTCAGAAGCCTTGAGAGTAATCAATTCAATGGAACTATTCCTCCTCAACTTGGAAAACTGATCAACTTGAGCAACCTGTAGGTCAAATATCGACTTATTAAGATATAGTTAAGATATATTTTGCAGCATTTACTCTATGCTAATGCTAGCTACTAAATTTCTTTTGTGTTATTTGAACTTGCATGTACTCTTGGATGGAAGAACTCTAACTGACAATGAACTTACAGGGTCCTTGCCTGTCGAGTTAAAGAACCTAAATAATTTAACAGAACTGTAAGTATACACTGTCAATTGAGATTAGACGTCTTAGATAAAACACTTGTTTCCTTAATTTGATACTTGATCTCCTTTACCATATAACTTATCATAGACTAACTCATTTTCCGTCTTATAAGTCTAATCTAGTAATCTCCCATGTATTGTAGTCGATTAAGCAGTAACAACTTCAGAGGGCGCTTGCCTGATTTTTTTCAGAGTTGGACAAAACTCCAAGCCCTGTAAGTTTGTTTGTTGAGAACACTAATTCTGCATATGTTCCAGAAAATGATTCTGATCCATCTAAATTATTCTGTTTTCAGAGAAATT